GTCTGTCATCTTTGGTGAAGTTTCTGTTCAAGAGCTCAATATTTTCTATTTCTCAAGTTCCCATTCAAAACTTCTCAGCAGATCATATAGTCTTTTGTTTGTTTGTTTTTGTTTTTATTCTTCACCCTCAACCTTTGGCATTTTCCCCTAAAGGTTCTTGATAAACCAAAAATTAACCTATAAACAATGATACATGGATCATTTAGACCTTAAAGCAATGATATTTCTCAGGAATGTTTTTATTTTATTAGCAAGAAGAACTTGATGTTTGTTAAGTTCCTGCTGTATACTAGCTGCTCTTAATTCATCTAATCTCAGCATTTGTCGGAGGTAAGCATGGTTATCATTATTCCTATTTTACTCACTTGATCTTTGAGGCAGAAATGTTGGCCCTGAATAAAAACCTCCCTCTTCATACTCTTCTGGGGGTACCCCTAATGCCATGCGTTCAACTTATTCTTTTATTCACTATTAACTCATGCATATCACTCCTTCCAAAGAGCACTTTTGAATATTCAGACCAGAGTCCCCTTCATGCACAGGAGAACTGAACCAGAGATTTACTCCAAGTTCTCTTCTGACTCCCACTCCTCTCAATTTCTATTGTATCATGAACTTGTTTCTTTCCTTTCCTTTCCTTTCCTTTCCTTTCCCTTCCTTTCCTTTCCTTTCCTTTCCTTTCCTTTTCTTTTTTTTTGAGACAGAAGTCTCACTTTGTCCCCCTTGGTAGAGCTCACAGCAACTTCAAATTCTTGGGCTCAAGCAATTGTCTTGCCTAGGCCTCCTGAGTAGCTAGGACTGCAGGTGCTCACCACAATGCCCAGCTAGTTTCTCTATTTTTAGTAGAGATGAGGCCTCACTCTTGCTCAGTCTAGTGTCTTAATTCATGAGCTCTAGCTCATCCACTTCCCAGGGTGCTAAGGTACAAACTACATGCCAGGCCTATATTTCCTTTTGGTCTGTTGAGTTCCTCAATGATTTCTGAAATCCACAGGGGTGGGAGAAGGGGATGGCAAGAGAAAGAAAGCAGACAGAGACAGATTTTAGTCCTTGTAGAAAAATTATGAATTAGTTTTTCTATTATTTCACTATACAGATGGACCATCCTTACATAAAGGAAAACTTCCCCTTCACCTTCTGAAGATTCACTGAAAACCAACTGACCAAAGACAGATTAGTAGGAGAAATGGCATACAAGTTTGTTAACATGTAGGAGGTGCTTACAAAATATAGAGTTTCAAAGATATGGCCAGATGGTTGACACTTTTGTGCCATCTTCAAGGTTATAGAAAGAAAGGGGGCTTGGATCTTCACAAAACAGGTTATAATGGGAAAAATGTATATGAGAACCCTGGTGGCAAAGATAGTTTTGTTATGTAGATGAAACCTCATAGGGAACAGCTCCCAGAAAGAGGATAAATATTTCTTTCAGAACTTTGAAGGTGTCAGACTCTTTCTTAATCTTTCCTAGACTCAGACAAAGGAGGGCCTCAGAGAAAGTCTGGCTGAATCAACAGATGTTTTTCTACAAACAAATCTTTTATATAAAAGATAGTTTTTCAGCTATTCTTGTGTTTCTAGTTCTTCTGAATAGCCATCTTGAAACAAGTTAATTTTGGGGTAAAATACTTTGGTTTTCTTCAACTTTGTGTCATCCAAATGATCACCAGGCTGGCTAAACAGTAGAAAGCAGAGTTTTATTGGTGGTATCATTTTGCAAACTAGGAACAGATAATCTCTGGTGTGGGATCAAGGTGCTTTCTATTCAAAGAGGGTAAGGACAGATTGGGTTTCATGCCTCATGGAGATGGTATCATACACATTCAGCAGGTTTGGGAGGAATCTGTATGTATTTATGAGAGAAGTTTAGCGTATGTGTAATGAATAAACATGTCTATAACAAAGGCCTATGCCTATGTCCCATGTCCACTTTGGGGCAAGGTTTTAGCATTAAAATCAGATGGGATCTCTCTTTGTAAAAAGGTGAACTCTAGGACACAGAGATAGTCTGGGCATATCCTCTATCACCTAGCTGAAACTGGTTTAAGATCTGGAGTAACTTATCAGAAAAGACTATTTGTAAGGCTGGTCCTCTGTCTAGTCAGAATTGTGCTGGTCTGGGTTGTAAATGAGCCTGACAACTCCTATTGTTAGAAAGTTCAGCAAGGACTTGTTTTTCTTATGATCATAGAAATTTAGAAGTTTAACATGCCAGCCAGGCCCTGAGTCCTAGATCCATAGGTAACTTATGTTTCTTTAATCTCAGAGCCCATCTTAGTTGTGAAGAGACAGCTATTTAGGCCTCTAAGATCACACTTATCATGTACAATATTATGAACTTTTTTTCGTTGAAGGATTGTCTAAGTCTGTCCTTTTTAATTTATTTATTTCTTATTACTTCTACAACTAAATTGCTTTTTTAATACCCTTTTTTTCCCTATTAGTTCCCCTCCCATGGAGCTTTAACACTTGTAGAGAAGTTTGATTTTTTCCCTAAATGTTTGATAATGTGAGTCTATAGAACAAATTGAAAACCAACAGATTATCAAGGGAAATGGCAAATAAGTTTATTATGTGCACACTTATGCATGGACATCAGATAAAATGTAAAAATTCAAGGGCAAGATGCTTAAACAGCTTCTTCCTTGGGGACAGAAGAGCTGGAGGATTGTAGGGATAAATTATTTTCAGATGAAATGAATGAGCCCAAAGAACAATGGTCTGGGACCAACTTTCTTTTGGCTCTGAGGGAGGCATCTTCACATGTTATGGAGAATGAAGGAATGAAATGTTGTCAAGCAAAGGCTGTCTTGTTATGCAGATGAAAATATCTCAGGCAATCTCAGAGCTTCCTTCAGAAAGAAAAATAGTAGCCTGTGGTTGAATTAACTTAGATCCGTCAAAGGAAAAGAAGCCATAGTCTATAAAATAATTTGAAGATGTTTAATCTGAGCCAAATTTGAGGACCATGACCCAGAGCCACACCCAAGAAGCCTTGAGCAAATGAACTTGTGGTAGTGAGGTAACAGTTACTAGACTTTGGTCTTATACATTTCAGGGAAACAGGAATTAGATGTGAGGTCATAAAGCAATACATGGGAGGTATACCTTGGTTTGGCCTGAAAATGTGAAATATCTCAAAGTGGAGGCTTATAGGTTATAGGTGAGTTTAAAAATTCTTCAGCTGGCAATTGACCAACAGAGTTGAGCTCTTTCTAATAGACCAGAAACTGGTGAAAAGGAATGCTTCAGTTAAGATAAAGGTCTGTTAATCAAAGAGAAACTACAGGACATATGCCCAGACTCAGGTGTTCTGTGTATACTGGGGACCTACTGGTATGTGCCTTGCATAGCCTTAGACCTGTTAATGATTCACAAAGGACATCATCTCTAAGGGTGAGGACATGATGAGACATGTCTTCTTTCTCTTGGATAGCAACTCAGTTTTAGGGAATCCCCTGGGCCAAGAGAGGGTCCCATCAATCAGACACTGGGGGAGCCTTCAGATTTTATTTTAGTTTATATATGTAGACAAGGGT